GGGTGGAGAGGGAGGTGGGAGGGGGGACTGGGATGGGGAATACATGTAAATCCATGGCTAATTCATTTCAATGTATAACAAAAACTACTGTAATGATGTAAAGTAATTAGCCTCCAACTAATAAAAAAGAAAAAACAAAAAATAAAAAGCAGTAAAAAAAATAAATAAATTAAAAAAAAAATAAAAATAAACACTGTCCCACACAGGAGAGTCAGCAGACAGTGGCACTTAGTACATTCTTAGTGAGGGGACGGATAAAAAGATGCAAGCACCAAAAAACAACCCTGAGGCACCACAACATACTCGACCGTGGCCTCAGTATTTACTAATACTAGGTTCATATAAGCAAACGTTATTAAGCGATTTTAGGACATTCACAACCTCTAAGAACATCACTTTCCTCACCTACAAACCAAAGATGATAAAATTTAAATCTCACAAGCTGGCTACAAAGATGATGTAAGTAAAGCATTTTCTAAACTATAAAGCAATATGCTGCTGTTGCTATTTTTATTACTACTACTATAATAACAGTATAATAATATTATCATTATTTTTATTATTGTTACTACTACTATTACCACTAATACTTAAGAAAATTTCACACATAAAAAAAAATTTTAAAGACTTTCAATCAACACAGTTCACAATTAGCAAAGCAGTAAATCAAATCCAGTTAAACACCCTACTTTCTAGTCATTCTGATCATCTAAGACTTGTATGGGGTGGTATGAGAGCTCTGGTCTGAGAAGATCCCTAACACTGTCATCAGAACTTCCAAAAGACCTGAGAAAAGCAAATCCATCTCGACACCCAAAACAGGGTAACAGTAACTGCCCCTCCTTTCTGATGGGTTGTATGAGACCCAACCAAGACACAGGATGTGAAAATAGCTTGGAAAGTAGGGTATAGGCTGCTCTTTTCCCTTAGTCTTTGAGAATCCCTCACCTTGAGATATCCTCCAGCAGAAACAAGCATTTTGGTGTCTGGAGAAAAGCAAAGGTCGGTCACCCAGCCTCCATGAGTAGTAGCTCCTTCTTCTACTGAAACAGGAGCACACAAATGAAGAAGCTCACCGTTTGAGACATTCCATATCTACAAATGTGATACACAGTTCATTAGTAGGATTACTCAGAAGTTCTATATCTATCACATCTGGAACATATTTGGAAATTTTTCTTAAAAATATAATTACAATTCAGTAATACTTTAGTAATTTTTTTAATTACATTCTTTTTCAAATTAAAAACAATAAATATAATTAAAATGCATTACTTGTGATATTTATCTTTAACTATACTCCAAAAAAATATAACAAAAGGACTTAAGAGTGACTAATTAGAAAACTGCGACTCTTTCACTGAATAAAAGAGTAGGACGGGAGAAGCCGGGAATAAACAAAAAAGGCCTAATAAACTACCTCAAAAGAACAAAGAATTCTAGTTTAGGATCTAGAATAACGACAAATTCTATACAAACACCTGAAGTATATATATTTTAAACAGTAAGTCCAGTAAGGTTTTTTTAATATACATATGTATAATTTTTAATGCTTTATATGTATAAAATAAGGAAGCAAACATATAAACATTCACTAAGATTATTTTACTGAACTTCTATAAACAACCTAATTACTAAAAGATACTAATATTTCCATTTACTTCCAGTGATACTTAATATATGAGCAGTACTCTAATTTTTCAAAGAAATTACACATCAGAATAAGAAAAATAGAGGCATAAACAGCAAAAGAAAATAATTAAAATCATCATTTGTAAATATCTCCCTGGGAAATGCAAGAGAATCAAATGGAAAACTGATTAGAAAGAATTCAGTAAGACAGCTAGATATAAGATATACATAAAAAATTAACTGCTTTCCTGTATTTTTAAAAAATAAAGTGGAAAAACAAATTTTTTTAATGTACCAAAGAAAATTTTTTGAATAGCACTTAAAGAGAGACAATTTTTACCTTTAGGGCTTTCTGGAAAATGAAACACTGCCTTATAACCAATAAAGAGGTCCTTTCATTCAGAGATGAGGACTCAGAGCAAAATCAATGTTCCCAAAGCAGCCCTGCTCCTTCAGTGGGTGTGATATTTATGAGAATGGCATAGAGATTACTTAGTTGATTACTTAGTTCTTAAGCAAGAGAATCTTATTTTCCTGGCAGGCCTATCTGATAATGCCTCTGTTCCAGCAAACTGCATAATGTCTCACTCTTCTGCATTATATACCTATTCCTTGCATTTTAATTTCTCTTTCATGAAAAAAAAAAAAACTCTCCTTAATTATACTGGTTACCAAAGCACCCCAATGTCCAATCATTTTCAACAACCCAGTGCTTCTAATACAACCACAACCAGTAGCAAATAGCCCCATGACAACAGCAACAGGCCCTACTCTAAATGTTGACTATTTAATGGATACAGTGCTAAAGAGACCTTTTTCAGTGCAGAAAACAGCAAAATTGCAATTCATTTATAATCTAGATAACAATTTACAAAAATTATTCTCCTCAAATTCTGCCACTAAAAACAATCTTTGGTTCAGATCCAAGAATTAGGATGAGTCATTATTCTCAAGCTAACAGCAGAGAGCCAACCGCAAATAACTAGGGCATCTGCCTTCTCACATACATAGGAAACGCTTCTAACTCTAAAACGAATTCATTTCTGCAGTGGAGTGCAGCTGTGAACACAACGTGCACGGGAAACAGAACAAAGCATGCCTCATCCAACCAGGACCCCACAGCCTGTGCTTCCCTGTTACATTAACAAAAGGCCCCGACGTGGTACAGAGGACCAGCCAAAGCTGTAAGAAAAACAGTGCTTTCATGTCAGCAAACACCCTACCCTGATTTCTCCATTGTCGTCTCCAGTCGCCAACAGGGTACTGTCCACAGAGAAGGAAGAGCAGCGCACACAGCCTTTGTGGCCTCTCAATTCATGAAGAGGAGAAAGGAGTTCAAAACTCCAAATCTGGAAGGCAATTCAGATTGCTTAAGAATCTTGAAATAAGCACCTACAAACCCTGCCTCGAGTGCTGTGTGTGTTAGTTGCTCAGTCTGACTCTGCAACCCCAGACTGCAGCCTGCCAGGCTCCTCTATCCATGGAATTCTCCAGGCAATACAGGAGTGGGTTGCCATTCCCTTCTCTAGGGGATCTTCCAGACCCAGGGATTGAACCCAGGTCTCTCACATTGCAGACAGATTCTTTACTGGCTAGTTAGCCATAAATTCAACCATACGAAGTTCTAATATTCAGCAGTTCATAACCTTTTATGAGAGGCCCAAATGCCAACTAGCAACCTTGATGATATTTTAGTTTCCCTTTAATTATTCAAGTAAACTTCAGCATAAGGATCTAAGTCACAGTTTCCTTAAGTTCTTTAGACTCAGAAGGAAGAACAGCAAAATGGTCTACAGAGTTAAGCAGACTTGAGTGGAGTCCTGGATCCACAATTTATTAGTTCCTTGACCTAGGACAACTACATGAGCTTCTCTGGCTTCAGTTTCTTTATGTGTATGATGAGAAGGAATAGTAGCACCTGTAGAGTGAAAATTAAATGAGATAATAGAGACTGAAATTCCTAGCTTACAGCCTAATGTACAGCCAGAGTATTTAAAGGTTAATCCCCATCAGTCCAGTCCAGTCACTCAGTCATTTCCGACTCTTTGCGACTCCATGGACTGCAGCACGCCAGGCCTCCCTGTCCATCACCAACTCCCGGAGTTTACTCAAACTCATCTCCATTGAGTCAGTAATGCCATCCAACCATCTCATTCTCTGTCGTCCCCTTCTCCTCCTGCCTTCAATCTTTCCCAATATCAGGGGTTTTTCCAATAAATCAGCTCTTCGCATCAGGTGGCCAAAGTATTAGAGTTTCAGCTTCAACATCAATCCTTCCAATGAACACTCAGGACTGATCTCCTTGCAGTCAAGGGACTCTCAAGTCTTCTCCAACACCACAGTTCAAAAGCATCAATTCTTCAATGCTCAGCTTTCTTTACAGTCCAACTCTCACATCCATACATGACTGCTGGAAAAACCATAGCCTTGACAAGACAGACCTTTGTTGGCAAAGTAATGTCTCTGCTTTTTAATATGCTGTCTAGGTTGGTCATAACAACTACTTAATTCTGCTGTTGTGGTTTGTAAGTATCCATAGATAGCAGGCAAATCAAAGGACACTAGTGAAGTTCCAATAAAACTTAACAAAACAGGTGGCAGGCCACATGTGACCCCTGGGTTGTAGTCTGCTAGCTTTCCCTGGATGATCTTGCTCTTTTTATTGCCTCTCTGACCTCATCTCCTCCCAC